TTTGTCCAGGAAAAGATATCTTCTCCATACAGTAGTACAATGTGTAACTTTTGAGAAATATCTAAACTTACATTAGATTTGTATTGAAAGTAAGTCAACTAGAAACTGTAGTATAGAGCCAATATATTATTATATTTAGTAAATGTAATAATAAAATGGAATATATTGATTAAAAGCTTAATCTGTTCAATAAACATTAAATACTATAAAAAATTAAAGTTCAGGAACCATATGTTATGAAACTATTATTTTCTCTTCCTTGTTCTTTTTATTTTTCCCAAATATTTAAGAGCAGCTGCCTCAAATTTGCTTCATACAAAATAAGCATTTTAATGTTATAGTTTTCCACATTTGTCAGATTGGGTCCTCAAACAGTTGTATTTCCTTGAATAATAAATTAGGTAAATAGGCTTTGGCAATTCACTGAAATCTTAAATGAACAGTAAAAGTGTATTCACTATGTAGTAAAATTGTTAAGGTCACATTTATAAGAATGTAATTCCGGAACTTCACCCTGCTCATGTGGGCCTCAGATCCCCCAGCAGCACTGATCAGCCTCAGGAAAACCCAGAGACATGCACAGAAATCACACTCTGGATAACACGAGTGGTCTGAAAGAAAACTTCTTTAGTGCATCAAGCTGGAATGCAGCCTAAGGAGAGAAAGAAAAAGTTATACAAGCAAGTACTTACAGAATTATTTTGTCTTTCTAACTCTGGTCATCACAAAGACAATGGATACTTGAATACACGCATGTTTTGGGCTGCTACTGTGGTGTTCCACTTGGCTCCCTCCTGAGATTTTATGCTCATGTTTACTAAAACATTATCCTCCAGAATGAAGTCTTTGGGTGTCCATGGAAACTTTATATCAATGTCTTAGATGACTTTAAAGGTATACAGTTTACATTAGGAATATATGTTGTGGCAGTTAACAGGGATTTTACTGTTTCAATTTGGGGCAAAAGTGCTTCTTCTAGTTGCAGATTGATAAACAATATGAGAAAAAATAAAAAGAATACTTTACCTCTAGACCATATTACATAATTCAAAATTGCAGTAATTTCCCTTAAAGCAAGTCATTTTCTTTAATTTTCCACTTCTAAAATAGTTTACACTGGAAACCAAGTCTGCGCAATTTGCAAGATTTGTTATTCTTCCTATTAGCATCATATAATGAAAGCAAACCCAGGCGTTTTTTGACCTCACACACTCCCACACCTAACCAGTGTTCTTCACAGAATGGATATCTACAGGCTGGGGGTGCTATAGACTCACGGAATGCTAGAGGAGTTTATGAATTTACAGGTATCGCCACAAATAGCTACCCTGAGTACTACTAATTCACATCCTGCATAAGAATTTGGATTAAAATGCCTATTAGTAGGTGGTTTCTATGGCTTTGAATTAGCTGGCAAAAGTGAAAAATAGCATTCTCATTTCTCCAAGTGAAAGGATGTTACATTTTAGAACATGGCAAAGGAATACTAACAACATAGAAATAGAATTACTATCCAAGACTATATTCCTTATTTTTCAGACAAGCAGAAGAGTTAACTGACGCCGGAGACGTTTAAATATCGATTCTGAGCATCAGCAGGCATTATTTTTACTAGTGTTTGGGTTTGAATGTAGGCTACTAAAGATGGTCCTTAAAGGGGAACTGTCTCCTTAAAATCCTTTTCAAATGCACCCTTATAGGCTACTTCTTTCCTAGGAAGAAGGAAAAGAACATTTCCACTGACCCAGCTCGTGATTTACATACAGAGAGCAAATAAATGAATGGAGTGGGGGAGGGGACACAAGAAGCTATGTGTTTCCTTTTCAACCGCAGAAAATCAGATTACTTACCAAGAACATTTTGATCCAGGGCAAATGTTTATTCCCGGTATCTTTCGGCGCCTCAGTCTCTGCAAGAAATCAATTTCCACTCTACTTTCCTATTTCTCAAAAAGAGAGAGAGAGAGTAGGATGAGTCTTAAGCAGCGGTGTCCAGAGGAAGATAGAGCAGAGAGCCAAGACTCCCACTGCGCTCTTCATCCAGCCCCAGCCCTGGGAGTGCACCTGGGGGAGGAGGCCAGGCATCTTCCCAACGGAGGGCAGCCGGTTTCAGAGATAAGGGGTGGGGGCCGGCTTGACTTCACAGCCGAAATATAAATCATCACCAACAGAATTACCAAGCCTCTCAGTCGCACAAGCATTTCCTCGGGGAATCCGGATTCAAAGAGGAAAGGGAAGTTCCTGAAATGAGTGAATGAGAGAGGAGAGAGGACACACACACACACACACGCAGAGAGAGAGAGAGAGAGAGAGAGAGAGAGAGAGAGAGAGAGAGAGAGAGAGAGAGAGAGAGAGAGAGAGAGAGAGACTGAATTTTGGGTTTGGAGAAGTGGTTGGGCTGTGGAGGGCAAAAGGAAAAAGGAATAAAGCTAATCTTACCCGATCGACCCGGCGATCGTTGGTGTCATATCGGAATACGAAAAGGGCAAGATAAAGCATTCCGCAGCACAAGCACAGCCAGTTCACTTTCCATGCGGGAAACAGGGGACCGGTGTCGGGCAGCCTCCCGCCGGCGCCCCCAGAGAAAGTCCCCAGACCACTGAAAGCTCTAGCTTCCAAAGCCACAGGCGTTGGGAGCCCAGGTTACGGCTGGAAGCCAGTCGACCGGCTGGCATCGCAGGCAGCAGAAGCCACTGAGGACGGAGGACCCTGGAGGGCGCCGCCGCCGCTGCTTCTGAGCACGGTCCTCGGCCCCCGGCCCAGCTACCATGTCACCGTGACCCCGAAAGCACCCAGCGACTCGGCCTCCTCTCCACCGTCAGCCCTTCCACATCCCCACCCCCACCCTCACCCCCGGTGGTTTGGTCATCCTAACGTGACCGGTCGCAGGGGGCTGTTTGGGGAGTTGGTTCTGTTGGGTTTTCTCACTACGCCCCCGTCAGTGCCTCGGGTGAGAGGCTTCGCAGGAGCCCCCAGGGAACCGCACTAACGGACTACTATTCATCCCCAGAACCACGTTCCCGACGGACGCAGGAAACTCTTAAAGGACCCAGAGTGGGAAGAGCAGAGCAGGATTTCTGAAGCGGTCCCCTCTTGAATTCTCATTGGATCCTCCCCAGCTGCCTAAATCATTCTTGCTGCTCTATCTATCAGGATGACTACAGCTTCGCTCGCTAGTTCTCTCTTTATCTCATTGTCTTCAACACATCCTTTTGCTTCTCTTTTCAGATTTATCTATATTCCACCTCTGGTGCTCTGGGGTTTCTCAGCGTCTGTCTTTCCTCATTGTATGGGGATCTACAGTCTGTAATTTTTTTTTTTTTTTTTTACTTTCTCTACTTAAGGATTACTACAATTAAGCCCTCCCCCAAAAACAAAACAAAAGAAAAAACCCACATCTTTCATATTTTTCTTCCTTTCTTTGGGGACAGTGGCTCTCCATGTAACAAGATTTCTACTTGGTTACATGATACTAGGAACTGCTGATTATGTCAAAGTTCCATCACCCTGCAGCTCACTTCCTTACCTTGATTTGGAAGATCATGGAATATCTGTGAATCCTGGATTGATTTTTTTTAGCAGTCATCTTGCTTCCTGAAATTTCCTCTGGTAAGTTCTTCTCTTTATACGTTACTAGAAATGTTTTACTAGTGGTAATTTTATTCAGCTGGCTGTCTAGAAGAAATTCCTTAGGTTTACCTTCCTGTTACTTTGAGAAGTTCAAGTCTATGTGATCATATCTGCTAATTAATGTTAGTTCTAATCATGCTACTAAGATCAATCCCATGAATTGTGCAGCTGTCTTTTACTTTCTTCATTTATTCATACTCATACTCACTTATAGTGTAGGTTATATGAAACACTGCCCTGCACACACACTCACACACTCACCCTTTGGGGCACACATCCTTCTGCTATTTGAAAGGATGAATTTCATATGTTTATCTAAGAACTTTAAATAAGCCTCTGACCATTGCAGGGTATGGGAAAGTTCCCTAGTCTCTCTGATCTTCAGGAGGTTGGTCAGCTCTGTATTCGTTCATTGTAAGCAAGTACCTGACTAAAGAGGACTTCTGTAAAGTGCATTTTATGGATTTAGTAGCATACTAAGCACCGAAATGAAGAGTGTGGATTTTGAGTGCATCATTTTTTTCTTACAATCTCCCGACTCACACATGAAAACAATATTGTGATATTGCAATTTTAATGTAGGCATTGTGTTTTGGGGTATGCTGCAGAATGTATGAATTCAGCCTGCAAATTGTTAATTGGACGTGAAGTGCTGGTTTCTGAGGAAGAGAGCTATCAGAAGAAATCACTGATAATCTTAGCTGTAATAAATTGAAATTCAACAACAGGCTTTACATGGAAATTTTAATCGCCTCTCTCCTCACACTTGCACACACCCCCACCCTTAGTTTTTAATAAGTACGTTAATATGGTCAATGTTTTTGCCTTTATGAACATTTTTTTATGGGCTTCAGTGCTCGTTATGATTATTCCCTTCCCTTTCAATAGAGGTGTGTTGAGAAACATTTAAGTCTTTGCTTTTACTTCACATATTGGCAAGGGCACAGTATTTATTAAACGTCAAATCTGCATCTACTATTAATGCATACTGAAGGTTTGGGGCTTTTCTCTGTGAACTTCCCCAACCCTACCTACCCCCACCCTCCACAATTAGGAGCAAGTTGCTGGGTTTCTTTCTTCACCTTTATTGGCTTAGAAAACCAATTGTCCAAGCTAGTCTTTCTTGCTCTAAATAAAAAATTATATAGATCTTAAAGAACTATTCCTGCCACCATTGATGGCTGATGTAACAGCCTAAGTTAAAAAGAAATATTTATTTATTTAAATTCAAAAGCCTCTTTAGCTACCAGACATACAAGTACTCCAGCTGCAGCGTCACCCCATCCCCCAGTCTCGGGATTCAAGGGCTTTTCCCCCTTGGCTCCCCTTGGCTCCCACTGAGCGAACTGGGCTGAGACTGCCCTCCGCACCACTGGGCGTCCCTCACCCGTCACTAGTTTCTACCCGATGGCTTCCCAGTCCCGTCCTCCTGCCTGACAAGCCCTTGCCAGTCAGCGTCTCTGATCTCTACCGAAGAAAGGAGGATTTAGTCCAATTCACCAATTCAAACATCTTTGGAAGACTGCTGCTGCTGCGCGGGGGTGGAGGGAGGCAGGAAAAGAAGAAGGGAAAAAAACAAACCAACAAAACTTTCAGTGTAGTCAGATTTTTCTTCCGAACCTCCTCCAATAAGGCACAGACATAGGTGCGGTAGGTAAGTGTGTTTTGCTGTCTCATAACCTAACACGCACTCTGGTGGAAAGGGCATGTTCTGTGGCGGAGGCTCCCGCAGCCAAGGACGGCTTCACCGGGAGGCTAGCAACAGGAGACTGCCGTCTGGGGCTTTCTCCGCAGCTCCTGGCAGCGCCGCAGCCACTGGGCTGCGGGAGCGCGAGAACCAGGCGCCTGCTGGCCAGGCTTTGGGCTCGGTGGGGGGTGAGGATGCCCACGCGGGACGGCGGCGGCGCTCGGACGGCCCGGCCCGCGCAGGCTCGGCGCCTGGCCCCTGCGGCGAGCTGGCGCTCGGCGTGGGCTTTTGCAGCTCTGGGCTGGGGCGCGCCCCAGGGTTTCCATCCGCTCCTATTCACAGCCTTGGTCAGACCCAACTTGAGCACAACCTCCTTTCTGTGCGAGGGGACAGACTTGAGCTCTCTAGCATATCCTTCTGTGTTATTCTAGATGTACACCGAGCTCGCCATAACACTAGTGAATAACGGATACTCGGGATGTCTGCTTTATAAAACTCGACTAACTATCTTTGACTGCTTAGCGAGGCGTAGAATTGCTGTTAAGAACTCTCAAGTTCAGTGTTAAAAAAAGTAGTGCTTACCATCACTTCCTCCCCACGCTCCTTACCCCCTGCCCCCTCCCCAAATCAAGAGGGCATTATGGTGGCGACGAGTTAGATTTCAACTGGAGCTCTAACTTAGGAAAAATGGTTGAAGTGAAATGCAAGGACTGAGACCAGAGGGACGTTTAGCACACACTATAGCCACTGAAAGTTAGGCTTTTATTTCTTCTCTCTCTCTCTCTCTCTCTCTCTCTCTCTCTCTCTCTCTCTCTCTCTCTCTCTTATTGATGGTAGAGACAGGAGGCAGGAGGCTCTGGTACTGGTAGCTCTCGTTTTTTTGCGTCCACCCACGAGGGGGTGCTGCTTCTTGGCAGCTGTTTTTTATTTTTTGCTGTTCTGCAGCTGAGCAGTGGCAGAGTTTGTCTCTGATGGCTGTCCTCCTACTGCCCCAGAGTTGAATCAGGGAGCATTTTATTTTGCAGTAGGGGGTCAGAACATGGTCAGCTGTTGAGAGCAGGGACTCCCTCTGGCAGGAATCAGGACAGGAAACAGGGGGTTTGCTCTGTGTCTCTGAAGATGAAAGTGTACGTTTCCATCTGTGTGGGAAGCCAACAGGCTATTGGAAAGGAAGTGGTGATTGGGGTTGCAAATTAACCTTAACACCCTTAACTTTAACCTTAACGTTGTATGTTGTATTGTAACCAGTCAAATGTATGTAAGCAAGGAAGAAAGCACTAGAGGCTAAAAAAAAAAAAAGTGTCACACAAGCTTCCAGGACCTACGATTCCGATTTTGGGAGACTTTTCCTTTTGCTGCTATTTACATTTGTTTGTCATCATGCAGTTTAGCAGGTAAGGACTGAAGACCTAGCACTTGTGGTGTCTGTATTTCATCAATAATCATGTATGTATCCTGTGTGTGACCCGTCCTGTGATGATTTTCCCCTGTGTCAAGCAATGGAGTATATGTATTGTCAGATGGTAGTGACACAAGGCGTAACTTCATATTCACATTCATGAATTCCATTTCAATCCACTTGAAGGTTTAACATCAATTATTTAAATGTTTAACAGTGGATAACAAAAATTCTAATTTGAACTTAGATGAGAGGAAGAAATGGGAAGAGTAAAGTCAGAGCAAGGTGTGTATAACCCTAATGAAGTACGGAAGGTGGCAGTTGCAATCATACCTTCCAACACTTCTTGTTAAGGTCACAGACCTTGAAATATAAGAGCAAGCAGAGAACCGTTAAGGGCATCTTGTACTACCAAGGTGACTTTGGTTACTCGAGAAAAATATTTGTGAATTTTTCCTCCTTATTAATCTTGGGGGGAGGGGTGTGTGAATAAGGTAGGGGTGGCTTTGGTTGTCAAAGGGCATGAGAAAACAACAGCTTGCCCAAAGTCAAGCATCATGCATGACCTCAGTATATAAGGGCTTTTGGAAGTCATTTGGAAAAATGCAAACAACAACAATAAATCAAAATGAGTTTGGAAAATTGTTAAGTCTTATTATGTTCAAACTTAGTTCTCTCACTATCAGATTTAATAAACCATTCCATTAAAATAATTTAAAAACATATGCTTTAATATAATTTTTCATTATTATTGATATTATTTGGTGATGGTTTTGGTTAAATGTTGAAGAAGCCCGAAGTTTCCATACAGGGAAGCCAAAAACAACAAAAAAAAGGATATGAGAAAGATATATATCTTAAAACTATGTCCTTCTAACATTTTCTCTTCTCTAAGAGATTGTATCCATCAAGATTACCTCTGGAAATATTACATTGCTTTCTGTACTTCTTGATGTGGATCCCTAATCAAGGACTTTGTGATAAAATCTTAAGGAAATAAGAATATGATTTCAACTTTAGATCATAAAATTGCAAAGCACCTTTTACTGTATTAGAGAAAGCATATCATTAGTGAATTCCAGTTCAATTGTTTTGCATTATATCATTTGGACTTTCATGACAGTAAACATGCTTAGGGTGTGTGTGTCAATTATGGGGTCAATACAGATGATATTTATTTGAAAACTACATCACTTTAATAATGTTTCCAAATAAAACAAAGTGCCATAAAGTGATTTATTGTATTTATATTAATTTTATCAGATAATAGGCGATTCTATCCTTCTATGGAATATTTTCTTTTAAGAAATTCAAGATTCTGTTATAATGGGAATATACTTTTTTATAAACTACTGTTCATCTTAATTTTATTTGGCAAAATTATTGGTAGATTTTAGCAAAATAACTTGAGCTTAACTAGGAAAAAATCCACGGAGATTCTAGAATGAATGCCATTAGCGTTGCTCCTAGATTTGTGTGTTCTCCAAATAAAATTGGAAATTCTTTTCAGAATAGTGCCTTTGTTTTGTTTCACTTTACAAGTGTAGAGGACACCTAGGGGAATTAAAAAATTTTACCCTCCATAATCAATTATTATTTCATTTTCACATATTTCCCCTTTGGAATGTTTTAATATTACCTGAAATAAGCCAACGCTATCTATCTAGGATGAGATTGAAGACCTTAGTAATTTGAAAAATTGGATATTAAGAGTTCAGACACAAACAAGAATTCGACACCAATTTATAATAAGTTTAGCAGAAATTTATTTTTTATTAAAAAATAAAAATAATAAGCCCAAGATTCATTGATATTTACCTTATAAATCATGAGGCCTCTTCTAAGAGTATTAGTGTTTTTCTTTTTAAACTCCTAATAGTGTGTTATTGGAAA